ACCTGTAGCTGTGGTATATAAGCTCACAGCTGTTTACAGAGTGTGTGTTTTAATGACCTTTTGCCCTGATCTTGACGCAGCTGTGGCGGGTAGACACGGGCCCAGACGGGAAGGCCGCTGTGGAGTTTCTGTCTAATCTGGCTAGACATACCAAAGCTGTCAACGTAGTGCGCTTTAGCCCTTATGGGGAGCTGCTTGCCTCAGGAGGAGATGGTATGTCACACATAATTCACAGATGCAAGGTAGAATTTGTGCCATGTGAAATGTCACTATGTAAAAGGCACTGGTGATGTTCTCAAGACAGAACAGGTATTTTAAAATAAATGGCCTTTTGTAATTGTATGGGGTTTATTTGGTACAGATGCAGCAATTCTGCTGTGGAAGCTCAATGACTCTAAGGAGCCTGAGCAGGCACCCATGTTCCAGGAGGATGAAGATGCTCAGCTCAACAAGGAGAGCTGGTCTGTGGTCAAGACACTAAGGTACGCAACTCTGGCAGTTTTGATCACATTAAGTTTTAATCATAATTTCTACCTCTTTTCCTTTGATTGCAAAGAGTGTGTTCAGACTGACAATAGAACAGCGACCAAAAACATCACACGATTTAATTAATAATAGAAAGACCAATTAATAATGCAAATGCACATTCCTGGTGGATTACCTCGCAGGGGACTGGTGTAATGCTACTGTTCACCTTGCAATTTTAAGACAGGATAAAATGATTCCCATAGTGATATTTCAGAGTTGTAGTGTTAAACCACATTACAACAATTGTATAACTGCTTTTTCATATCATCCTCTCACTATTGTTGGCCCAATTTAACTTACTTTGCAAAACATACAGTATATGTCAGACATTTCTCAATGTCTTGTTCAGCACTTAAAGTCACAAATGTCAGATGAGTGAAACGGTCAACATTTCAGAATTATAAGAGAACCATTACTTTAAAAAATAATAATATTTAGTTATGGAGATCTACTTGTTCTGTCCATTTTGAAATTTGCTATCAGATTGATCTCAGTTTGTAGAAATATTGTGGTTATACAAAGAGATTTCCTACCATTTGATTTGTGTTTAGGGGACACATAGAGGATGTGTATGATATCTGCTGGACACGGGATGGAAACTTCATGGTGTCTGGGTCTGTTGACAACACAGCTATTATGTGGGACATCAACAAAGGTTTGCTTATACATTTTAAGTTTCATCTGTTATATTTAAGTGCTTTAGTGAAAGATGTGAGAGTACATCTTATTTTGGCTTTATATTAATTCTGCTGGTTGCAACTGTGTTTTGTGTTTAGGACAGAAGCTGTGTATCCTGAATGACCATAAGAGCTACGTGCAGGGAGTGACCTGGGATCCTTTAGGGCAATATGTAGCCACTCTCAGCTGTGACAGGTAGAAAAGCTACAGACACACTCTTTCATAGCCTGTCTATGGGTATTATCTTCATTAAATTATTGTATTTGCTTAGCTTGTGGGGTTTCAGTAGCTTGATGCTGAAGATGTTTTGTATTTCGTCCCCCTCAGAGTGATGCGTGTATACAGTACTCACACCAAGAAGAAGGCCTTCTGTATCAGTAAAATGAGCTCTGGGCCACTTGCAGAGGGAGAGGTCAGTAGATGCTTCGCCTTTGATGATAATCAGTTGAGTCACCCATTGTATTACACGTGACAATGGACTTCATTATTTTTATATTTACATTTGATCTTTTAAGATTCAGTCATGCATTTTTGTCAGAATTAGCCTGGTTATCCAGCTGTAAAATAAGTATTTCACCTTGGAATGCACCAAAGTAATGCTTACATTTACACTGAACCTATTATATAATTTTTTACCATTTGCATGTACCTTTTTGAGATTATCTTACATGAAAACTTAATATTTTGTCTTACAATTCCCTATATTTGATATGAATGAAATTGACTCTGTAATATCTTCAGAGATCTTCAGCCCCACTGCCATGTGAGTGAGACAGGTATTTCTTTTTATCTTTGCAGGTCAAGCAGTACAGGATGTTCCACGATGACAGTATGAGGTCGTTTTTTCGCCGTCTTTCATTCACACCAGACGGGTCTTTCCTGCTTGCCCCAGGTAACCTACACTGCATACTCAAACTGTGGTTTTCACCTGGAATGTATCTGATGGAAATGTTGTGTTTTATTATTCTAGTAAAGGTAATTTATATAAATCAGTCTTCGGTTTTATCCTCAGCTGGATGTGTGGAGATAGGAGAAAACATCATAAATACCACCTACATCTTTTCCAGGAAGAGTCTCAAGAGGTAACTCCTGTGACACACTGTGGCATTTAGTTTTTCAGAGTCGGTGTTTACTATATTAAAGCTGGTGATTCATGTAAAACCTCTCCCTGTGTGTCTTAGGCCTATAGCTCACTTGCCTTGTCCAACTAAAGCTACACTGGCGGTGCGCTGCTGTCCCGTCTACTTTGAACTGAGGACCAAGAAGGGAGAAGGCAAGGACACATTAGTTAACAGACTAGAATGATGATAAAGCCCTCTGTTTGTTTGTTTTTTTTAAATTCCTTTTATGTTTGACTTGTACATGTTCTTGATTTTTTTTATTTTATTTTTTTCTCCCTTTGTCCTCTACAGATGGTTCAATTGAGGCTCTTCCCAATGTATTCCAGTTGCCGTACCGAATGGTGTTTGCTGTAGCATCTGAGGACTCAATCTACTTGTATGACACACAGCAGACACTCCCTTTCGGTTTGGTGTCTAATGTCCACTACCACACACTCAGCGATCTTACATGGTAAACTAGGACTCTCTTCTGTTGTCTTCTTTTGTAGCATTTTCTTGTATAGTTAGGCACCTTTTTGAATAGTCCTCATTTATTTTAATGGAGTCACAAAACCTTTTACACGGCTGTATTGATTACCACTCCACACTTGTTGTCATTTTTCTCTCGCATTTTACACGAACATAGCTAGCTATGTAGGAAATGATGTTTTCAGATGTCTTGAACCAGACTAGGACCTAAGCCTATTTACATTAAAAACAATCTTAATAGTATTTCAGTCTAGTCTGTCTCATAACCGTACTCACATGCACACTGACACAGTTTATGGTCTCTGTTATTGTTTCTACTCTTCATACTGGCTATGAATACATGTCCTGCGAGATTCCAATGTAAGTGGTGGGGGACAAAATCCACACTCACTCCTGCTGTGCAAAAATAAAGCTATTATGAAGTTTCAGCAGATGGAAGAGGAAACTTTGGATGATCCCTTGCTTAATTTGAGTAACTCCGACCGCCGAAGCCTCATATTAACTTGGTTTGACATTGGAATGTATTTTTACACTGAACCAGAGCTGTGGATTTCATTCCCCAAAGCTTAGATTTTGAATCACATCAGGGATCTCTTCATAGCTTGTATGGACAGGAGTGATTATTGCAGCAACCAATAAATGTTTCAGTGTACATGCGGTCATGTAAACCTATCATTGTGTCCTCAACACAAGATTCTTATACATATTAAAAGACTGAATTTTAAAAATGTCTGTTTTGTTCGTGTTTTAGCCTTCCACCCACTGACACGTTTTACTATTATATCCTCTTCAGGTCTCGTGATGGTTCCTTCCTGGCTGTTTCCTCCACAGACGGCTACTGCTCCTTCCTGTCCTTCTCTCCCGGGGAGCTGGGCATTCCTCTAAAGGAGCCCCCCACCCTGGAGGTCTTTGCACCAAACAACAGCGTTGAGAAAAAGGGAAAGAAGTCGGCCAAGACCTCATCTCCTGTGACCCAGCCACTAAGCTCGGCCCCGACTCCCGCATCGCAAACCAGCCTTGGCAAAGACGCCCCCTCTGTCACCCCTTCAGAGGAGAAGAAGAGCACCCCCAGTGCCAAGTCTAAACCTCAACCCCGGAGGATCACCCTCAACACCCTGGAGGGCTGGGGGAAGCCCTCTACCCCTAAAGCCACGACTCCTTCAGCACCTCAGACCCCAACATCCGCAAGCAAAAGCGTAACCTCGACCCCACAAGCCTGTGTCGCTCCTCTCACTCCTACCAACTCCTCCACAACCCAGCCACGCATCTCCCCCCACACTCCCACCACCCCTAAAATCCTCAGCAGTGCTAAAACTGCTGGGCCCATCACCCCTAAGGGTACAACAACCCCAAAGGGGCCCACCCCAAGGTAAATGAAAAAGGTGTTCTCCTGTTTGATTGTGTCAGAATGAGCAAAAGGCAAACCAGGCGTTGGTTTATTATTAGACCTCTTCATATAGGCACAGCCATGCTTCGATTGTTGGCAGGCAGGTTTTTCAAGGCACGTGAAGCTACTAATTAATCATTTGCTTGTTTTGTTCAAAATTTTCATCTACACACACAAAATTAAGAAAAGACGCAAATCCTCACATTTGAGAAAGTGGAAGATTAAAATATTTATTGATTATGACTATGACACTAGTTGTGATTAATTTACCAGTCAATTTGTTTAGGGACTAGTGCACATCATTCTTCATCTCTTTGTGTACTGTTCATGGATGTGCTTTTCATTGATTGTGTCAGTATTCAGCCAAGTGATGTGGATGTTTTTGTCTGCTCTTAGTTCCTCACACTTGTAAATAAGCGTCCACACACACTAAAATCACTAATGTTATTTGGGTAATTTCAATGAGACATGCTTCTGGCGTTTGGAACATCATATTTACGTAATTATTAGTTAGTAAGTTAAAAAGCAACTGTGTAACTTTTCAAAACCAGAGTTACGAGGTGCTTCACAGTTGCAAGAAAAAGCAATCAAAATAATTTAAATATTAAAATCTAAGATAAGCTAAATTTATAAAGGAATAAGAACAAATCAGGTTGAAGAAGCACTAATAAAATTCCTTTGGGAATAAATGAGATTTTCTGATCTGACCCCTAGAGGGAGACTGTTCCATAAAAGCCTGGTGACCACCAGTCTTAAACTTTAACAGGGGCACTCAGTGATATTTGTGGTGGAGCCAAATTGTGGAACGCATTAACAGTTATTAGAATTTTTGAATTAAATCTTAAATTTGGATGGATGTCAGTGTAGTGATCCCATCACCAGGGTCATGTGGGAACACCGTGCAGTATTATTTAGTGATCGTGCAGAAGAATTTATGTAATTTTAATTTCTGTACCAGCAAGATCTTCCTAAACTTTTTCATTCACTAAGGGTATTTAAAACTGTGTAGATGTGAATAATGCAGGTGCTGCCCCACACAAGAGAACATACTATAATTTATGGAAATACTTTAAATATTCAAATGTGTTCTGAGAGAGTGAGTCTGACTGAGGAAGCAACTACACAGAGCATACTGCATCCACCTCCCCTCCCCCCTGATGATTAAAGTAAGTAAGCTGATTATCTCTAAAGATGCAGTTCACAGGGATGAGTACGAAGACTAAGAAAGCAATATGTTCTTTTAAAATGTGTTTATTTAAATATTATTCTAAAAATGCAGGAAAAATATAAATAGCTGTAAGGGGCTTGTGGTGGTTTTGTAGGTTTACATGTGCTCAGCCCTGGCAGTGAGAACAAAGCCCTATCTGGTATGAGGGATTCGTTGGACCCCCCACAGAGTATAAAATAATAATCACTGACAAGACTGTGTGTAGACAATGGCACGTCTGCACATGCTTTTGTATTTGCCTTGTATCCGTAACATGTCACGACTAGTTTAACTAGAAAGCAACAACTGAATCAGAAGAAGAAAAACAGAGGATCAATGAAATTAAACACTGATAAACTTTGTTCTCTGTAAAAGAGCAGAGTTACATTCTCTGCTTGTGCCGTTTCTGTTGATCTCATGCCTGAAGCCTCTTTACCTTCCGTACATTTTCTGTTTGTTTACAGGAGAGTATCTTTGACTCCCGTTGCATCCCGGTCTCCAGCTGTTAGTTCACTCTTCCGCACGCCCTCCTCCACTGAGAAGGCCAAACATGGTTAGTGAGGGCAGCTGCTTTTGGCTTTTGTCCTTCATGTTGCAACTATCTGATTGGCAGCCTTGATCACACCGATTTCTGTCATGACCAGCGATGCACCCATCCAACTTTTACTCTCCTGAGTCACATACCTCAACACGATACAGAGCAGTGATCGGATACCAGTGCTCTCTTTCCCAAATTTAAAATCTGCATTCCTCATTCTGTCATACTGCTTGGAATCATTTGAATGTATGTCCATCTAGACCGAATGTATCCGCAATAAAAAAACTTTGTTTAGAGGTAAAATTGCAAACTGTTGGTGCATTGGTGCACACACAACTTCAGTCCGTCATTGCACAAACATGGCAGGCCAAAGTTGAACCAGGAAGTGGGTCTGTTAACTGTGATGGATGTTTACAGCAGACAAAAAAATACCATTCACTTTAGTATTCTCTTTCAAACTTGCTAACCTGTGGGTTTGATAAAAGCCCGTATAATCATCTGACTGCTCATGTTTCTTCCAGATCAAGTTAATCTCTAAAAAAAATTTTTTTATCAATTGCTAATTTACAAAAAGTTGTACTTTATTCTATCAGCCAGGGCTCCCACCGACGTCGCACGCTAGTACAAAATGCTGCTTGATTTTGAATTGACTTAAAAATTTTATTGCTCACTTTTAAGGCCTTAATTGGCCTTGCTCCTTAGGTCTCTAGCTTCTTTTAAATCTCTTCTTAAAACTTTTCTCTTTGTGAAAGCTTTTGGAAATGTTTGACATTTTACTGTTATTTGATCTTAATCACTTTATTGTCTTTACTTCCTCTTTGCTCATGTTCTTCGGCATTGTTCTCATTTTATCTGCCTTGTCTGGTTTATTTCCTTTTGTAACATTGTTAAGAAAAGTGCTAGACAAATGAAGTGTATTTATAATGTCTAACCCTTGTCTCCTCCATGTATATTTCTGCAGAACGTCCTTCTCCTCCCACTGATCCAGTGTGCCAGCCTCCAGAGTCCAAACGGCCAAAGACCAGTGAGCCCACGGCAAAAAGCAGTGTCACCCAGGCTTAGTGTTTACCGGTAACAGCGTGGTGCTATATCACAAGAGTGCATACAGCAGACGGTGACGGTGAAAGAAGCTCCAGTACAAAACCACTGAGGCTCCCCATGGGTGGAACACCACAGTGCAATAAGCATTGTGTTTGGGTTGATATAGTCTGTATTTGATCTAACGAGAGATTTTTAACCTCACATAATGTACTCCATTACACAACAAACTGCATCGCAGCAAGTGTCCTTGAATTAACTCTTCTTTTAGTCGTGTGCATGTGTTTTGTATCCTACAGTAAACAGGCAATGAGATAATTGTATTATATTTGATTTGTTTGACATTGAGATGCTGAAGTGCTGTTGTAATAAGGAAAGTTCTCTCTTTGTGTCAATAACACACGATTGTGAAACTAAAACTGCGCCCAAAACCTGAATTAGAAAAACAAAAACAAAATGAGCACTTCAAGGTTTAGTGCCTTGTCAGAACTTTGAATATGCAGCCTGAGTCTTAATTTGCTGCTTGAGTAAAAAGCTCAAGATTGTCCAGCGTTCAAGAGTCATTTTCTCATTGTCTAATAAAAGATGTTTCATATACCGTGCATGTTTAAGCGGGATGATTCTTGCTTTCCTTAGGTGACTGTTATTAAGATGATCATTCATAGGGTGTCTTTATTAAACTGAGTTCGAGGCGTACGTCTCTTGAGCCATCTTTACAGATGCAGTGAGGATTAGGCTAATGAAGAATTAATTGTAGATGTGCATGGCTGTTTGTCGCAGTGTATTCAAGACTGTAGCCAGAATGTTGAAATTCTGAGATCACAACATTTTTTACTTTGAATTAAAAAACCAAACCCTTTTCTTATTTGGACTCTTTGTATTTAATAAAGGTGGTACATCATGTTTTCTATAAATTAATAAAAACTTGTCACTGTTCATGCTGTCCTTGCATACAAGTTTAAAAGACTAAATCTGATACTCAGTCTTTAGAATACACATGCCCAACATTGGCACACATTGCACAGCTTAGAATGAAATGCACAGATTACTGAATCAGTACCGCATGTGATTCTAAGCATTTCAGAACAAATTAAATGTTAAAGGTTGTCTGTTCAGCAGGTAAATTGTGTGAATTGAGGTTTAATGTATGCTTTGCAGCATTACAGTTTAGCTTGCTGTATTTTTAGAAATATACTAATACTACTATAAGGTTTGATGTCTTGAATTAAAAACAAAATTTGTGGACAATACATATAGACAAACTAAACCGATTAAGTGAAGTACCACATTCATAATTTTGTCTTGTGTGAAATGTAGAATATACCGTGGTGTAAAGTTTTGTGACACCAACCAACATGGTAAGCAACATCCTGTTAAGCTTAAGAATTTGAGAAACATCCTTCAAGAGGGACACAAGAATTGAATCATGTAGAAAAAAATTTAAGGTGGAAATTATGAGATGTGAAGAGGTCACACAAGCTACGATTAGAAAAAGTAACGCAAAACATTTGTTGGACATCATGAAGAGCATGACTGGACTATCAACTACTAGGAAAGCATTAGTGACACAACGAGGCCAACAAACTGTTTGCAACAAAACAAACGTTTTCTCTAGGTTTGATAAAGGGAATAATGCTGATCATGTTAACAATCTTGATTCAGCTGTACCTGTGCAGTCAATTAGAATTTATGTTACTGTTGGGCAGGTGAGGAAGAACACAGGACCAGATAACCTCAGTGCTTTTATTTTGAAAGCATTTGCAGCTGAGCTTGCACCTGTGTGGCAAGAGATGTGGAAGACCTTACATATGCTTAATGTAATACTTAGAAGTTTGCATATAAGCAAAATCGTAGCACAGAAGATGCAGTTGTAGCATTTATACACCGAACAAAGATGATTCAAATAATCCTTGTCTGATTCAGTGGCACCATTCATTTCTTACAAATAGAGTAGACATGGATTTATTAAACGACATATTTAGTGGATCTCCTTATTTTTCCACAAGAACAATAATAATAAAACAAACATGCTATAGAAACACAAACCAACAAAAACAGCTCAGATCAACAAACAAACAGAAGGTTACAGGAAATAGTCAGTGTTGCAAGTAAATCACAGGTTACAAGAGTTCAGAAGACCCCCTGTAAAATAATGGAAGAACGATCAGGTCCAAGATCATTCAGATGGGGCTGCCAGACTGTAGAACTGATCTGCTTTGGTATGTAGAATACTCCAAACAAACTTTACACCAACCCTTAACAGAAGGGCCCTATCATCGAGTCCGCCGTAATTATGTTTTCTAATAGCTAGCCACAGTAATTATATTTCTACTTGGGAGGTCCAAAATCAAAGACATTGATTCCATTTCTAAATCTTTGTGATTTTTTTTTTTTTCCATTTCAAGTAATACTTGGTCCAATACTTAATTAATTTGTTTAAAGACTGCAATAATGGGATTTATTCTATGTATAACTCTAAAACTGATTGCTTTTGTTCAAGTACAGATGGATATATTTTTGGAGTAACTCCAAATATACCCTCCCATGTCTCCTCATCAATAGTCACTCACAGTTCCTTCTCCCATTCACCTTTAATCCTCTGTGTGTTAGGAAATATGCACGCATTACATCATAGAACAAACTAAGAGGCACCTTCCCTAGTTATTGAAACACTTTTTTCTCAGTAGCCGATATCTCATTGTAATCTCTAAAGAGCCATTCTCTTAGTAATATAATGCCTTATTTATAGGAAACAAGACAAAAAATCTGGGGGCTGGTATTTCTGTATCAGTTGTTTAAATGACAGGCTATTATTTGAAAATAGGTCTCCCCAATTTGGTTATATCATTATTTCATTGCCAGAACCCAGGATCCAACATTTCTGGCAAATGTGGAGAGTACAGTTAAAGCTAAAAAGACATATTCAGCTTCTGTTTTTACTAACTCAGGAGCACCCCAGGGTGTGTGAGTTCACCTCTCTTTACACTTTATACAAACGATTGTAAAACTGATATTCCAAATACATTTGTTATGAGATTTAAGATGATAGCACACTGTTGTCTTTGCACTGAAGATGATCCTAGCATTCATCAGTATTGTACAGAGAGAGATTAGTGGAGTAGTGTAAAACTAATGTAATTATTATTAAATGCAAAGACGACACCAGAAATACCTTTTGCTTTTGCAATGAACTCTTATCCTCCACCCGTTATTGTCCATAACACACAGATTTTAAGTTTCCTCCAAAAAATATTTTCTATGTGGACGCTGCTTTATCTTGGAGTGCACAGATTATGTAGCAAGGACAACAACGCATTTTCTTCAGATGACTAATGTGATTTAGAGCAAACAAACAGGTCCAGTTATTGATCTTCTAATCTATAATACTTGTGTAGTATGTGTTATGCAGTATGGATGTGTTTTGTTATGTCTGTGAAAATGTGTTCGTCTTGGGATGCAACACAAGTTTCTGAAAAATATGAAAGTGAAATCAAAGTCAGACTCCACACCTCATCATCTGTATTTACAAAAGCACAAGATACTCAATTAGTTACTAAAATGTTTTCAAAAGTCATTGTTACTCTACATCATTTTTAACACTGCATAAATTGTGTATTTTGAGTACTATTTGTATAATTTTGAGGAAATGACCACTACTTCATTTTGAAAAAAAGCATTAAATAATCACCATTTCTTTTAGTCAAGAACATACAGTATTGTGATGTTCACAGGCTACTGGTGATGTATTAATTTGATCATTTTCTGTTCCATGTGAGATTTTGAGGCTAAAATTCCAAGGGTTGAATTTTGTGTTAAAAGTTTTAAAAATCTCTTGTGAAAATGGAGCCAAAACAATGGATAGCCAACTGTATTACAATATGTGTGACTGACAATGAGATGACAGTGACAGCTAACATTTTAAAATCTGAAATCATTTGAAGGTATTTGTTAAAGCAAAACAATGTCAGGTCGTATTCAGAAGATAAAAGCTCGATACCATAATAGTATGTGAAGGTGTATCATGTTTAACTTGATTGTGTAGCAGCAAGTGAAGCAGATACTCTACTGGCATCGTGTGCAAACAACCTACCTTTACTGCGAGGGGAAGGAAAGTAACTTGAATGGCAGCCCAGTCAGCCAATCACATGTCGTCTGGCGGAGGCTCTTTAAAGGTTCTGCTAATGGCCTTTGTTTGAAGGCGGGAGGACTTGGCTTGGTTTACGGTGCTGATCAGCCACAAACAGAAGGTTACGAGTTTAAACAATTGGACTATTTCGTCGTCAGACTGGCTTCGCCGCTACGAGAGTGACACGAACTATGTCGGGTGTCTAATCGGAGCTTGTTGGGTCGCTTTTGAGGGGTCCCCGCGGTGATTTGCAACATTACGGGCTTTTCGAGGAGACAACCTCGCTTTTAGGTCGTTCAAGTGGCGATGCTGAGCTGATAGCTGCGTCATCATGTTGCTTCCGACTCGAGTTGGCGAAAAGAAATCTCAAGTTAACGCCAGCGGTGAGGCTGCCCGCCGTCATCCAGCTCCGGAGGCCACTCCCGGCCCCTGAAATAGATGGAAGACGGACTGCGGGTGAGCGGTTGGCGGTGAAGCCCGGTTACATGGTCGCTGTGAAAGTGGTGACTTTACATCACTTGGCTCGGCGTTATTGGCGCGATAATTACTCTCCTTGGCTGCTTTTTACTATCTAACACTTTGGATGGACAGTCAACAAATCTACGGATGTTGCGCAGCGTTAAAAGCCGCAAAATTGTACGAAAAATATGACCGAATGTTTTCGGAGCATAAAGTGCAACTGTATTGATGTTTTAGGGATGCTAGCCACAATTGTTTGCATGGTGAGAAGTGATGCCCTCACTGACAGCTAGGGCACAAAGCAGGACCCTCCAGTGAAACGACTCTGATCTGATGGTGGCTTTCTTCTTTTAGCGCCAGTTGAGAAAAACACACTTTAGTAAGCCATAATGAGAGACTTTACGGTTCATTTGAGCTAATTGGCTAATGGGTGACCGTCCACTTGGGCATGTCAGGCTATTAGCAAGGTGTCAAATAGTGTTTGTTGGGACTTACTGGTAGCTCGGTGGTTTGTTGTCTGTTGTCACCGCATCCACGTGGACTTTGTTTCAAGTAAAGTTCTGTGGCTCGCGACCCGGCCCAGCAAAAGGGGGCCGAGTGTCTGCTTACTTCAGAGAGGCAGAAGCTGTGGTCCTCCCCAGCCTGGACAAAGTTGCATGTTACACCAGAATATAAAACCGGTTGAAATGGCCGGCAACCGCACCCACACCAACGCTCATTACGCGAGCGCTGAGACGTTTTGTCCGTCCAAACCCTGGTCGGATGGAGACAGAGAGATGGAGGCAGCCGGGATCTCGGAAGGGCGTGGAAACCCCGCAAGGTGCGCGTCCAACTTTGAGGTGATAGACGGGCTGCTGTACCGCAAGAAGCTGGAAAAAGGCTTCATCAACTACCGGGAGGTTCTGGATGAGGACCGGAGACATGAGGCCCTCTCAACCTTTCACCGGCGGCGGCGGCCTGCCCAGCGCCACCTCTCCCTGGAGGAGACCTACAAATGCGTGGCTGAAAACTACTGGTGGGAGGGTATGAACATCACTGCCTGCCTCACATCTGACTTCATAGGACAGCCTGTGGTTCCTGACTCTGTACACCAACTTCTTACTGGTTATCTCATCTAGATGGTTTAATCAGGTGTTATAGTTAGGAACAGCAACTAATGATTGAATCGGTCACAAATCAAGAAACTCAGACATGAATGAGGCTGTTAATTATGGCCCTGGCTTTTCTTGTTTGTATCACAACATTTTTCAGCTTCATCTGGATCAAAAATCCTACAATTGTTGCTCGAGTTATGACCCTTTTTAAGATTTTTGTCCTCCTCCATGCATCCTAGAAGTTGTACCAAAGATTTCTTCTTGTCGTTTTATAGTCTGATGTTTGCATATCTGTTTTCTTCACAGGGATGTACTTCCAGATCCGAGATTTTGTCCTGAGCTGTCCAGAATGTCAGCTCACCAAGAAAACCGAGGTAAGGGCAGGCCTGACAATGTAATACTGTCCTGAGGTTGTTTTCCTCCACGCTCCTAGAAAACTTTGAGCTCCTCTTCCTTTTAATCAGTGTCTTCATTTGTCTGCTTCTCACATTTTTAATTGATACTTTCTCTCGCTCTCATTCTCACTTAATCCTGCTCTCACACTTAAATGTCTCCTGCAAATGCTTTCTCGCACATTGCTTTCCTATAACGATGCCTCTCTGTCTGCTTCTGCCTCGTTGCCTCTGCCTCCCAGGAGCTAGGTGGCAGAAGATGTGTCACAAAGACGATGGCGTCGCACGGCGCCGACATGCTGAACAAGCTGAGGAGTCAGCGGGAGGCGGGGCTGTTCTGTGACATTACCCTGCGGACGAACGGGCGATCCTACTCTGCCCACAGAGCCGTTTTGGCAGCCGTCAGCGATCACTTCCAGGAAATCTTCACAGAGATGGACTCGAGCATGAAAGCAGACATAGATCTCACCGGTAAGATCACATAATATTACTGCATTGCTGGGTTCTGTTTCAGTTTGGGAGCTGAATCTGAACGCAAAGATGTGATTAAGCCTTCACCAGATGATTCAGTCCAGCCCCACAGACAACAAAACGATGCATTTGTGTTCCTCTTTAACTTCTAAATCAGTATGTCCCAAGTTCATTACAACATTTATATTTATTCATTTAGCTGACGCTTTTATCCAAAGCGACTTACAATTGCTATACATGTCAGAGGTCGCACGCCTCTGGAGCAACTAGGGGTTAAGTGTCTTGCTCATTACAAGGAGTAAAAGTCGGTGCTAGTGTTAGAGTTGTGATGTTTTACTTCAATGCATGATGGATGACTGGCTAATAGGGTACCTACTTAATTATAGGACTTTTGAACTTCTCTCTGTAGGTTGGTTACACATTTTCTGTCACTTTTCCTGTGTATAAACTTGTGTAAAGCTATGATCACCTTTCAAGAGAAACGGTATGAAAATGTGTGTTGTTATCCCCAAATTTGTGTGATTATTCTGTCTACCCCTTTCTATGACTTTCAGATTTTCACCCCACCTGTAAGTGTAGCTATTTGGAATAGCTGTAAACACGTTGTACGAACTAGTTCTTTTGTAGCCTAACCTTGCTCTTGTTTTTGTTACTGATTTCATCTCCAGAATATTCAATTAAACCGTTTCTCTGTAAAATATCATGAAATAATAAAAAATGGCCATCATAATTTCCCAGAACCCACGGTGACCTATTCAGATTGCTTATTTCATCTGACAGTCAATTACACAAAGATAATTAGTTTATTATTATTTATGACAAAGTATAAATTCCTCACATTTGAGAAGCTGGTACCAGCGAATGTCAAAAATGATTATTTGATTATCAAAATAGTTGTTAGAGATTCACCGATTGAAATATCCTTGTCTGATTCCAATCTTTTTAAAAGTCTGACCTCTAATATTTTGGCCTATTGAGATTTTTCTTTCTTAGGATCCCAGTTAGTACCAGCATCCCAATTGGCTATTCTTTCTGGGGTCCATTCAGTTTTATGTTCATAATAAAACATTGACTGAAAACTGCACCAGGTTACAGTGTACTGTATATTTTATTTGAAATAATACATTACCCTTTTACTTGTAGGTGATTTATTTCACCATTTTAATTTTACTTAATTCTCAACTTTATTAGAGTTTTCTTTCACATAATTTTGATTATAATCAGTGTTTCTGTGTCTGGCTTTCAGTGGTGTAGAAGTTCATGTGATAAAATTATCAGAGACTGATTGCTGCCTGAATGCAGTCACATGACAGTTCCTGGCTTGAGTTAACACTATTCATCTCAGGAAACTGAAAGCTGCAGACGATACACTGGTCATTCAGGCAAAAGGAGGAAGTCCTTTTTGAAACAAGACTGGCTTGTCAGTTTATGATGTATTCAGTTTAGAAACCTGGAGTTGGAGGATCCAGATAGGGCTGGGCAATAAAATAATAATTATCGCAATATAACTTTCCTCAATAACAATAAATGTTCAATATATCATCAATAAATATTTGCCTTAATTAATTTGAATCACGAACAAATTAGCACTTTATTTATTTTGTTGGGGGGGGGGATTAACTAATTATATTTGTTGAAAAAGATAATAGATTTGAATGTTCTACCTCAGACTTGTGAAGTGATCCACTGTTTGGCATCAAGTGTTTGTCAAAATCTGACCATAAAGATAACTTTAACCACATAATTAACCATCTGGTTTCTTCAATTCTCACTCAGGAGCAAAAATTGGCCTTTAAACTTGAAAGAAATAATGATTTGACATATATGTGATAATTATCTATATCGAATGATATGAAATGTTTTTATCGTTATCATTTTTGGCCATATTGCCCAGCCCATGATCCAGACCCTGAATTAGGACACACACAGCCATAGTCTTCTAATTTGCTTACCTCTTTGATGTGTGTCGTTGAATAGGAGAAGTGGCCCTGATTAAAGCAGTTGTTATATTGTCTCCTAGTCTCTGCCGCCATGTCTACGTTTGCTCCCTCTCTGCCTGCTGTCTCTCTGATCTTCTGTTTACACCAGTCACTTTCATCTCACTTACTGATTGACCAGGTTCAGCATATCTAATTAAAGGTTCCTCCCCCTCCTCAGGTTTTAGTGAAGACAGCCTTCTGTCTCTGCTGGATTTCTCCTACTCCTCCACTCTGTGTGTTCGCCAGGAGGACCTACCTGAAGTCATCGCCATGGCCCGCCACCTGGGCATGTGGCCTGCTGTGGAAGCCTGCTCTGCACTCATGAAAGAGCAGGAACAGCAGCTCCATCCTGGCCAGGGCTTTACCTCACCCTGTGCTGGTGCGTGCATTGGGCGTCACCGCCAGCAGAGGGAAAGCAAAAGGAAAAGGGATTTGGGATTACAGGACAACATGAACGACCGCTTCAGTCTCACACTGGATGCATCTGATGAGTCTATAGAAGGAAGTCCAAGGCGCAATCTGCGCAGGACACCGAAACCCCAAGGCCACAACGGTCTCCCTCTGAGTCCCTCACACAGGATGAAGCTCATGGACTTCAAATCTCCCTCTTCAAAGAAAGCCACTGCACCTCGACACTCCATAGCCACACAGAATTACTCGCCCATGTCACCATCAAACACCCGCCTTCTCCGCTCCACTCCTGGGGCTGCCAAGGAGGTTCAGAGACTGCTACCTGTTCCAGAGACCCCCAGACGAACCCGAAAACATGACTCTATCACCCGGCTCTCGTGTGCCTCCAGATTGAGGCCCAGCGCTGTGTGCAGCCCTGTGAGGGTAAAGCAGGAAGTGGAGGAGGTTGGAGAGGATGAAGAGGATTATGCGAGAGCACAGGAGAAGTACAAGTTGATGAATGTCCTTGGGTTACAGAGGACCGCCCTCCTCCCCAGACCAGAAGATCTGATTGGCTGGAGACAAAAGAAGCGACTGAGGAAACTGAAGGCTAACAACTATTCACTGACCAAGCGGCGGAAACCACGCCCCACCTGCCCAGGACTACCATTTGGGGATGTGACACTGTCACTTCCTCTCTGTAACCCCGTTAACACTCGCCTCCTCAACAAGTCAGTAAAAACCAAGCCTGTGGGTCCAGTCAGCACAGCGCAGATGACTGCAAAGAGGCCAAAGACCATCCAGCGACATGTCCCTCCAAGTGACAGGAGCATGCGAAGTAAAGGTATGTTACCAGATATGTTCCAGCCTGCATCCAGGTCTTCCTTTGGTGGGAGAGAACTCAGACGGTCAGTGAGGAAGGGTGACGCTGCCCACCTTGCTGCCCAGCTACCTCTGCGACGCAACACCAACAAAACTCTAGGGAGAAACACAGTCAGGATCAAATCAGAACCAGCTGAATACTCTATCTCAGGTCTACCTCTTTCATCAAACAATTGCTGTGGCCACACACCTCACAAATCCCCACCTTCACAGAGGACACACACCAGAAACAAGGTCACTGTAGAGCCGGTCAAAACGCTGCGTTACAACAGCAGCCGACCAGCAGCAAAGGCCAAGCTTCGGCGGATCTCCACAAGGGAGGTGGAGAAGACCAAGTGTAAGCCCAGAGAGGAGGGGAGGAAGGTGGGAAGCCAGGAGCTGAGGGGGGTCATGGGCACTAAACCGAAAGTGAAGGTTAATGAACCTGGTGGGCTCCAGTTTTCAGAGCAAGCACCTCCACCGTCCATCTACAACCACCCTCTGTACAAAGTCATCAAAGAGGAGCCAGCAGAACCTATGCCAGTTGTTGGACCTTTCCCTGATCCTCCCTCACCAGACCTGGGCAAGCGCCAGAGCAAGCCCCCCATCAAATTACTGGACTCAGGCTTTCTGTTCAGCTTCTGTCGGCCGGCAGGGGGGCCGATGCCCGGAATGAAGAAAGAAGAGGAGAGCGTGGATATCTGCTTAACACGCTCTGTGTCACAAGTCGGGGAGAAATTTGGAGGGGCGGAGTCCCCCCACAGGGCACTGAGAGCCAGAGGGCCATCCGCCCTGCCTGTGGTGAAGAGGGAGAGGGAGGAGAGAAGCGTGAGCCAAAGAAAGGTTCAGAGCCCGAGGCCAAAACCACGAAACAACACTCTTCACCTGGCCAAGTCTGCCGGGTCGAAGGCCATACCGACCATGCCAAAGGTAGGTAAAAGGGTGATTGTTGATGATTTCTTTAGGAACCAGGGCAGTAAAGGAGGAACACTGTAGAAAATCCTCTTGCCACAGTATAATTTAGAACCTGTAAAGGAATTTTAAATTTATCACCTTTAACTTGTCATTGCTTATTTTCCTTTCATCTAATCATTTGATTTTGCATGTATATGACTCCTCTCCAAAATCAGAATTAACTTCTTTCCCCCATCTCTCTTTTTTTGTCCAATGCATCTCCAGCAGCAAGTTATACTCCCTCTGAACAGCAGGAGCTGTGTCATGCCGGATGCAGTACGTCGGGCACGGCTAAAGCAGCTTCGAGGACCTCGTAGTCAAGCACCCAAAGTCCCAAAAACGGCCCATGCCTGTCTGCAGTGCTCAGCCTCCTACAAGGACTGTGATGCCCTAATCATGCATCGCGTCAGGCACATCGAGGGCAAGCACTGGCCATGTCCGGTAAGCACAGGCTTTCCTAAATCTTAACAACCTAGAACCATTAAGGGGTACAAAGCGCCAAAAATCTGTAGATTTTATTACCACCAAGCAATATACCATTGCTGGTGGAGACCAGGGACACTTTATCTGAGTGAAATGGGTGGTGCTAGTTGATGTTTGTAATAAACAAACTTTTGAAAATCTATGGCACATGTTTGCCATTTACTATTTCCATTGAAGGCCACTTTATACTTGTACTTAATACGTTTCATATTGTACTTCCTACTCCGCTACATTAATCTGATGGCTGTAGTTACTAGTTACTTTGATTCTTTCTTAGGCTTGTAATGTGTGATTAACTGCTATAGATTAAACTACACACTGGTGTAAATAATGTAGTAAATTAATCAGTAATAACAATTAAAATATGTGCAAAAAGAAGAGAATACAGTCACCACAGCGGGTACGCTTGTCTCTGTCAGACAAACCAGTACAATCAAAATTGACGTGACTCACCTATGAAGCCTCATAGTAATCCACCCATCGATTATATTCCAACAAAAATGGTCTTGTTATGTTGTCAAAGGTCCAGACGATCCAATCCAGTAAAAACATTTAGTCCAAAACATTATTCCATCAATAAATCCCCAGGGACTGCTGTTGCATCGTTTCCAATTTGCCGGCAGACGTGCCTAGTTTGTCATAACTGTAAAAACGCTGACGTAAACAACTACAATATCTTGTATTCAAATTAGCTGATGAGCTATGACCTTTTGACTGACACCTAATTTGACCCAATAGGAGATCACATGTCCCTTTCACAGCCGACACTAGCCAACTAGAGCCAGCACCAAGATATTCCCTTAGAAAAAAACTGTGTAAAATATACATTTTTCATGGTATTGGTAGATGTCTATGAAGATTCTCAGTCATCCAGGTCATAGTTATCCAACGAGGGTTAAAATGAAGAACTGAAGAAGTCCTTTGGATAAGGGACGAAACGTCTTCCAGTATCTTCAACCAAGTCCAGTTGCCCTTCATTTTAACCCTCGTTGGATACATGGTATTGGTATAAAATTTTAAATTGGACTAGGTAAGACTTTATGCTGTGGCCCCAGTGTTTTCCAGCTATAGTTGTCTGCATGCATGTGTTAGCAAACATTTTTAAGTGGAAACGAAAAATATTAGTTTTAGTGTATTTAAACTTGGATTAATCAATTTCAGTAGCACTTACAGTGATTCTGACTTTTGGGTTAGACACTCCTAGAGTGTTATCTTTCAAAAAAGCCCAAAACCATGCATTTACTCCAAATAGTTCAAGAACTGCATACAATTTACTTTGGATATGCCTTGAATAGGCGTTTTGCATGAAATTACAGGAATGGTAAGAGGTTAATATAACTCCCTGTTGTCCTCTTCTGTTCATTTCTGTGCCGTTAACCCTTTGTCTTACCCTCTCTGCTATGTAGCTCTGCTGCAAGACCTTCTTTCGACTGAGGAATGTACGGAACCACATCCGCACCCATGACCCCAAGTTGTACAAATGCCGGAGCTGTATCATTGCCGGTTCCTGAGGCATCTGGAGTGTAGCAGCGAGTGTAAGCAGCGAGACAGAGGTGGGTGAAAGTGACACCTTTCAAGGCGGATTTACACTTCAACTGAGAAGCTAATTCGACTCATGCTTGGTTTGCACATCTGTGCTGTCTAAAACGTAAAGTTTTAATTGTTGAGAGCATGCAGATGAGCGTGCGTTCTGCTGTCACTCTACAAACTGCTTGCAGAAGGAGCTGTCAAGAAACTACAGTGCATTGTGATCCCGTGTTGCATTGAATGTCTTTGGAGTGACTGTTTCTTAACGCTCGTGTTTATTTTCCAGGATGAAGGCTGTCCGTGTCTGACACCAGCGAACAGACTGAAGCCAGAGGCACATGATCGATCAGCAGCTTGTATATAATGCATCTGTCACACACAAGCACCGCTGTGGAAAGGCAATATTACTCAGATTCTTATCATCACCGTCGTCAATGATTGCTGATGTTATTTAAATAACCAAACCGATGTTGCTGGTCCTATTTGCGTATCGTAGCTACAGAAGATTAAACTTGAACAGTACACTCAGGGGGTGGGGAATGTGATGCCACAGTATGTGGTTTGTGTATAAAATGAAATGTAAAGTGATTGTTATAACTATTACTGCTACTTATTGTTATCATTATTTTTCTATGTATAGATGAATTTTGAGTGTACTTATAACTTGTGTTGTAAACCTAAGAAGTGGTGAAATCTGAAGGTTCGGAGTCCATGAGTCTGGAGTCCATGAGGCAAGAGTACTTGAAGTGATACAAGCGCTGGAGGGAATACTTGAAGATGGAGGGGTCTCCAGAGTGAGACTGTCCTTTGGGTGTTTCAGTGGGTCTTTGTCCTTTTGGTGCGATTACTTTTACATGACTAGTCTGTCCCTCTTCTCGTATTGATCTGCTACTCTGTAATAGTCTGTGATTCGGGGGTTTGACTCTGGGCTTGTATACCACTGCATGTGTATTTGCAGGCCATTTGTAGTCCACTGTCTTTTCTAAGGCTGCCAATTTTAAAAAGGGAAACGTCTTGTTTTTAATGTAAATTTCTGTATAGTAATCAACACAACTGTGTCATTACAGATGTTTTATTGATCTCTTCTACTTTAATCAAAGACAAGACACACTGCGTCTTGTTCTTCAAATTCCCCTCCCACTGAATAAATGCAGTGTGTTCACATAAGATGTTTGTTTCACAAATTGATTTTAGAAATAAATGATCTGCCTCTTGCTATCTGTTGACTGAATAAATTTTTGCTTTTTATGTGCATTCTTTATTGCATTATTCTTGCTGTAATTACATGTTTTCATATAGCTATAGTGTAACTGAAAGAAATGAGGGGCGGAAATTGAATTAAATTAGGATTATTTTCATAATTCAAAATATATAGAGACAAATTATATAGAGTGGAGTTATTTTACATTTATTTTCTGTGGAATTCTCCCCGTGTCTGCGTGGGTTCTCTCCGGGTGCTCCGGCTTCCTCCCAACGTCCAAAGACAAGACAGGCTAGGTTAATTGGTGACTCTAAATTGTCCTTAGGTGTGAGTGGTTGTTTGTCTATATGTGGCCCTGCGATGGACTGGCGACCTGTCCAGGGTGTACCCCGCCTTTCGCCTGATGTCAGCTGGGTATGCAGGATAAGCGGTTGACGATGGATGAAGAAATGGAGCAATGTCGTAAGAAGAGCCAAACTTAAGTTGATTAGGATCCGCTCTGTTAAAAGATTTAATTGTGTTGTTACCATAACTTTCCGTTTATTTTTTTACTTGTAATTAGGAACAGCAGGTGTCATCGCGTACTAACAGTATGCACCCTTTCAAAGATGGGTATCATGTTTTGGGTTATTCATTTAGAAGTAGAGCTAAAACAAGTCAACAACTTTAGAAGTTTTTGAGTATTTACTGCAGTTCTCTGTCCTGTGTAATATTAAATTAAATCTCTCTGGGTTTTCGCCTGTTGGTCAGACAAAACAAGCAACAGGAAGGCGTTGCCTTTAGCTTCAGGTCATTTTATAGACCAAATGACTAATTGAGAAAACAATTAGCACATTAATGGATAATGAAAATAAGCATTATGACTCTTCTACTGCATGCAGCAAACTTTACGCAGGATTACACAGGATTGTTTGATGCATCTGCAGTGGGTTCAGCAGGAGGAGGATGAGGAGTTCCTTCTGGGGAGGTGTGATCCAGGAGAAATGTGGAAGAGCTTGATGCATGAATCACGTCTTTGCATCCTTTCTGACTGACTCGTCTGCAGCACAAATGGAGGTCTTTTTATTACCGTGGGCACATGAAATGTGTAAAAAATTAAGTTTAATAAATAAAATGTACTCGATGTCCAAAAATACACACAAATTGAATTTGGGGGGGTGAAAAATGACTAAACCAAATCAAATTTATTCAAATTGCATATGTTCTAAATCACATGAAGTGATTCGTGCATTTTGTCCTGTTCTCATTAATATTAGCATGTTAACATGTCAACTCTTATTTTTCTGTGATGGAATCATTGGAGCCCATACTTACCAATAGTCATGAATTTTGGTTCTTTTATGTATTTATCATGGGTCTTTTGAAAATGTGACCAAACCTACTGGGTCAAAAATATACATACACCAATGTTAATATTTGGTTAAAAGTCCCTTTGTCATTTTTACCTCAATTCTTCTGATAGGCATCCCCAAGCTTCTGGCAAGCAATCATTGATCACCCCTCTCGATAGATTTGGTGCAGTTGAGCTGAATTTGACACAGACTTGTTTCTTCAGCAAATTGCACATGTTCTCGATGGGGTTTAAGTCAGGACATTGGGAAGGCTATTCTAAAACTTTAATTCTGGCCTGAGGTAGCTATTCCTTTAACACTTTTGATGTGTGTTTGCGGTCATTGTCCTGTTGAAACACCCAACTGCATTCAAGACCCAATCTTCTGGCTGATGGCTTTAAGTTTTCCTGACGAATTTGGAGGTAATGCTCCTTCTGCATTATGCCCTTCCCTAAACCCCATAGCAGGTCCACTGGCAGAAAAACAGGCCCAGAGCATAATACTACCACAACGGTAGGTATGGTGTTCTTGGGGTTAACTGTGGATACTGATACTTGTGTTCCAGCAGCTTCTAATACATTGCAGACCTGCTTTTTCGTGGTTCTTGGTTGACCCCTGACCATCCTGAACGATTTTCTCTCAGCAGCATCGTTGTGTTGTCTTTCTGATCATGGTAGTGACACAACTGTGGCATGCACTTTATACTTAGGAACAATTGTTTGTGAACAAGTGAAACTTTGGGACCTGGCTTCAAGTGACTTTCCTATATTCTTCAAGTCAATAATCCGCTTTTTCAGATCTGTGCTGAGCTCCTTAGACTTTCCCATCATAGCGTTAATAGTCTAATAAGTGTATCAAAGTGCCCTATATAAACTGGCTCAGAGAAGTCACTAGCTGTAGTCACCCATAATAAGTTAAAGAGGCCATGTCGTAACTTTCTACATCGTTTCAGTTGCTGTATGTATATTTCTGACCCAGTAGATTTGGTCACATTTTCCTATAGACCTATAATAGATTTGGAAAAGAACCAAAATTCATAACTGTTTTTTCTGAAAAAGAAGTATGTTCTGCTTCACAGAAAAATAAGAGTTGTAGGAATTCAACTATATGTATATATATATATATACATGTACGGTGCAGACATACAAAGTTGACAGAGAGGGTGTGTGATTAGGGAGGATTTGATGTGCCAGTACAAAGAGCATCTAAAGAAAGATTGAGCCGGAGGCTTAAGGTGCTGCAAGGAGTAATACAGTAGCTCATTATAGAGGGTAGGAGGTGTCTCAGATGGAGTTCAAATAAACAGTCTCTGTATTTTGCAGTAATTTGTTTATCCCACCTGCCTTTCTATGGAGGGAAATTAGTCTCATCACTAGTGACAGATGCGTGATTCATGAATAAATGAATGAATAAATGTCCAGTATTCTACATGTAGTATATTTCCAATATAGATATTTTCGCTTTTAAAATGCTTCTTGTGCATATAAGCTAAATGTCTAAAATAAATTGTATGACAAAATAAATCTGCACGGTTGCTCTTTGCTCCCATAATCATTCTTGTGCATTGTTGCTGTTCAAAGTTTCGGGTCAATCTGATCCTCATTAGGCATAAGAAGAAGATCTAATAGATCAACAAATGGTGTGCAGGTTCTACGTTTGCCACTGCATTTGCCTGCTTGGCACCAGCAGTGTTTTGGATTTGTGCACTTTTTACCCTCCAATTAAAACCACTTTTTAGATTTGTTTTTAGCTGCATGGATGAATCACATGACAGGTTTAACAGTTTTACTCTTGGTGTAAACAACATGAAAGCATTGATCCATCCTGCCTTGTATCAATGGTTCAGGCTAGTGGTGGTAGTGTAATGGTGTGGGGGATATTTTCTTGGCACACTTTGGGCCTCTTGGCACCAATTGAGCATCGTTCAAACGCGACAGTCTTCCTGAGTATTGTTGCTGACCATGTCCTTTATGACCACAGTGTACCAGTGCATCTTCTGATGGCTACTTCCAGCAGGATAATGCACCATGTCACACAGATCAAATCATCTCAAACTGGTTTCTTGAACATGACAATGAGTTCAATAAACTCCAGTAGCCTCCATAGTCACCCGATCTCAATCCAATAGAGAACCTTTGGGAAGTGGTGGAATGGGAGATTCACATCATGGATGTGCAGCCGACAAATCTGCAGCAACTGCTCGATGCTATCATGTCAATATGGACCAAAGTCTCTGAGGAATGTTTCCAACACCTTGTTGAAAGTATGCCACGAAGAATTAAGGCAGTTCGAAAGGCAAAAGGGGGCACTAGCAAGGTGTATCTAATAAAGTGGCCGGTGAGTGTAAATCTAATGTTGTTAGGGTTGTATTTGTTTGTGGATATGCAAATGCTTCACAAATTCCCATACACTTCCTTGCTAATTTCTCTCCATATACTCCCTTCACATTTATATATAAAATATGATTGTTTCTGTATCTTATTTTGTCTTTCAAGGGAAATGAACGTCCCTTTTTGTAGCTTTATGGAACAGGTTTTGAAGTGCTTATCCAACTAAAAGTATGCTTTGGTGCTGCACTGAAAACAAAAACAAACGTGTTGCTTCATTACACCAACAGTACCCAAACCTGACACTAGATGACAGCCTATACTAGTGGATAACAATGGCTGCTTGATGACAATAAGAATACAATGCAAAATGGTTCCAGCCATATCCCCCTCAAGACACCCCCAATGTGGAGTATCTGAGAGCACATTTAAAAACAACA